ACGCCTCTTCAGTAATCAGTCACAGGAAGCCATTTAAAGTTGACAGAGAATCAATGGCCACAAACTCACGAATGAGCTGAATGAAATTTTATTTTTGCACAAAGATACCAGGACTTTGGATAGGCTTTTGATTTTAGATATCTCTCCAGTGATGCCTGCATTATTTTCAGGCAGTCGGGCTCATATTCATCCCCGTTTTCTTTTCGTAACTCGGCATAAAACTGCGCCACTGTTCGGTCGAGGACATCGCTCTCGTACTTTTTTAAAACGATGTTGCAGTACTCCATGCTTTTCCTCGCGTTTTCGTTTTCACTCTTGTCTTTTAATTCTTCGACATACTCCTCGTCAACTATCTCGAAACGAGACGTCATTGTAACAGAAAATCTTCAGCAACAACTTTTCGATAGCATAAGCTGTTGCTAGGCAACCTGAGTGCCAATCATGAGCTACTAACTTTGCCATCCTCTCAAGCAAAATTAAGAAAAAAATACCCTCTTTATTGACCAATCAGCATTCAGTAATTTTGCCCCCTATTTTATTACTTCAGAAACTAACTCCCTCTTACTAAAAAATATCGATCACGAATCTTTTTAACATTTCTAATTTTAATGTAAATGCTAAACGATCATTTCTTTGGTCACTCTTGCCGGAGTAATAAGAACATTTGATTTGAGTATACAGTTTAAAAGATTATTAAATAAACTTAGTCTATTTTACGGAAATTGTCGTTAAGTTTGCAAATTACTTTTTGCGCAAATGTCTATGAACGTCACGCAATTTACAACCAGATTTTAGATTTAAAGACGGGAACCTGCCTGGGTATACTTAGCTATTTAATCCCACAAGAATAATGTTTATAAAAATAATAGTGTATCGAAATGTAATTATTGGACACTGTTAAAAAATAACGTAAAATAACATATCATTGCATCATCGCGAACGTTAATTTTAACAACTCATAATCAGCCAATTTCGACATTAGACTTTTGTAGAACGACATTTTTTAATCCTCGATGCTAACGTGGCGGGATTCATCGATAGATCCAAATTCTGTGTATAATTAACATTTGACCATCGAGAGCAGAAGAATCTTTTCAGAGTGTCTCGATAGGTTTTAATGAAAATAAAGCAAATGCAAGGATTCACAGCGCTCCATGCGTGCAACATGAAAGAAGCGATGAACGGGATCATTGTGCGAAAAGTGCAATTGGGCGGCACTTCCCTATTCCAAATAAATACGCGTGTAAAGATAGAAACAAGCTGTGGAATCATACAGAAAGCAAAAGCTGCTATAATGGCTACAGAGCTACAAACAATCTTTTTGCTTTGTTTGCTGAGTTTCTTTTGATGATTACCCGACTCTTGCATTTTCTTTCGTTCTTTACACAAGTTCCAAGCTATTACACTGTATACGATCACTAAAACACAGATTGGCATTAAGACAAAAGTAACAAAAGTTGCTGTGACAAATCGTTCGTGCGTCTCCAAATGATTGAAGGCTGGTCCCCAATTGGCGACGCAGGAGGTTTTGTTTTCCTTTACCTCTAGTCTAAAAGTGTAAAAATAAGGTGCGTGAACTGCAATGGCGGTGATCCATACACAGAGAATGCTGATTTGATGAACTTTCGATGAAAGATGTCTTGTCCTCAGCGGGAAGACAACAGCCACGAGTCTATCCAACGATATCAACAGCAGACTTTCAATGGATACAGCAACAGAAACATCAGGCAAAAAGTAGGAAAGTTTGCAAAGGATATTTCCTAACAGCCATGGGTTGTCAACCCTCCAAGTAGCAGACCCTGAGACGATCTCAACGAATGTTATTGGCATGATTGTCAACGGATTGAATAAATCAGACACGGCCATATTAAAGACAAAGTAGTTTATAGATCTGCTCAGCTGTTTGTTCCTGTAAATAGCAAAAAGAACACCACCATTTCCAACCAAAGATACAACGAAAATGATAACATAAGCCAGAGCTTGGAAAGCCGTCGCCGTCTTGCTTGGGTCCCCAATGCAGTCTTGCACACTGCTATTCTTCGTTCCATTCATAATATCAGATATTGCTATGCCTCTCGTTCAATAATGTGCTAGATTTTTAAAAAAATAATGCTCTTTTAAAGGTTTTCACCCTTTTGACCGATGACAAGCTTTATATGCACCACAGTGAAGCTTGAAGCGAAATAAAAGGCTACCTGGCCGACGTTTAGCTTCGGCAAAAACTTTTCGCAGATAGATCTGTTGCGTAACGTGGTAATATGACAACAATAGTTTATTAAAATTAAAAGCAGCATTGAACATGTGGTGCCGGACTTAAGATAGACGAGATTTAAAATAAACTTTAAGATAAACATATGACACTACTTGACCGAGCAGTATGTGAAAACAGGAAGGAGTCGAAATGGTTTGTTTCTCAAAGTAATTTAAAAAAAACAGATTGATTCGAATGAATTTCTCATCAAGCGGTATCCTGTCTAATTGTTTTAAAATGTTTCCACTCAAGGCAGCAATGTTATTCTAATCACTGACCTTTACAATGTTTTCATAAAAAGCAATTTGTTGTACCTTCATGCCTTCCAAGTATAGTTTTATGGCTCACTGCATTAGTGGAGTGATGCAGTACCCTCAAAGACTAAGCAGCATTTGAACTAGCACATACTCCTTGACAAGTTTCCTTCAACTGACATGTTTTCCATTGCAGTGCGCGTGCAGGTAGATAAATGTGACAACGTTTTCTCTGAGGAATCCTCTTGTCCAAAAACTGACATGCCAATTATTAATGAAAGGGGCATTTGTTGAAACAAAACTGACATTTATGTTGGAAATAGTAAATTTTCCTACATTTTACTTAAGTCGGAGAGCATTCTGGCTTAAGAAAATGGGAAATATTTACTCTTTGAGATGTATATTTGCTAAGGAAATCTTACTTGCCAGTGTGGAAAAGGCTTTTGTGGCGTGCTGACAAGCCCATCAGACAGGTTTTCAGCGTAGGTACAACAGCACGCGGCTGAACATTAATCAGTGGCGGATCCAGGGGGAGGGTCCGGGGGATCCGGATCCCCCCTCTCAAACCTGACGCTTACAACTTTGAGACAGGATCGTATATCACTTTTGACTGGCTGATTTTTTTAATGAATCCAAATAAACGGTAAGCGGCCAAGGAATTATAACGTGCAACCGCGACTGGTGGGAGGAGGTGTGGGGGAGAAGTAATTTGCCTCAAAGGCTCCAACAGTCCTTTCCGTCTGAACCAAAGTTTGGATCCCCCCAATAAAAAATTCCTGGATCCGCCTCTGTTAATCGACGTCAATTCATTGCAGGAAAGATTCTTCTTCAGGCAGTGCCGATGCTTGCTAGCATTCGTACATTTGCCCCCTGTTTTTTTTTTTTTTTTTTTTATCTAAATAGGCTAAAATGGTTAAAATTTGTAAAAACGTAGTGAATTTTCATACACGCTTAAACGACAGTAACGTGTATCGGGTATGGTAAACTATTTTTTTTGCATAATAATCAGGAAATGTTGTATGTTGTGAGGGTTTTGAATATAAACAACAACAGCAGGTCACACAAATTGATGACCCCAAACGCGTTTCGTCATACTTTCTTATAGAGATAAAAATCGATGGATCGAAGAGATTGAACTAAAAAGCTGTCTCGTTAATTACATTTGGAGAAGACTGATACATTTAAGGGTGTTAAATGAATTAGGATGTTTTAAAACTATTTTAAACGTAATTGTGGGCTAAAGTACCACATGAATTTAGCTCATATTAGGCTTTCTACACCTACTTGGGTAACGCAACTTTAGGTAAAATCAACATGATTTATCACGCAAGTGTGATGGGTAAAACCTCGCCTAAATAACCTCAGGAATAGCTTTTAATTAACGACCGTTCATCGACCTATGTTTTTTTTAAACAGCTTGTTTCTCATCTTGGCTTTATTAGTACAGATTTTTGCATCCTTTTTTATTTTATTTATTTAATTTCTTTTTTGTTGTTTTTTGCACTGTTTCCAATGTCAAATTATGGACGGATCGGACCACCGCCGCCATATACGTTTAATTTTTGGCTTTTTAAAATTTTTATTTTTCCTTGAGGGCACACTTTGTCCAATAGTTTCGTATAAATCATTGTATAAGGATGAACTATATCTTGAATTTTGTTGAGGAGCGGAGTCAGTTTTCCCGTTTAGAAGAAAAGGTTTACCAAGAGCTCCCAAGCCATGGCGAAAGCTATCTACTGCTCCGACAAAGGGCTAACGCTCGAAACGTCAGCTTTTATAACCGTAACGATGGCCAATTTACCATTTCAACTTTGTTGATATATTCAAATTATACTGTTACTACAGTGTGTTCCGCTGCAGTAGAATTCTGCCTGTAAGAGGGACCACTAGAATTCAACAGAAACGCAAACGATATGCATGTTGATATAAGGGTGCACCTGAGATTGTAACAAGAAAATGCTTGTGTATCCATGGAAGGCAACTAAGCTTAGCATATGTGTAAGTGCGTGGTAAGCGGAGACGAAGGATCGGAAATTTAATGCAACCGAAAACGATGAAAGTTTTGAAAGGAAAAAGAGGCTTTTTCCCGTCCTGTCGTTTTCAGTTTCAAAATTATTACCTCTCATGTGCTTAGTCCTGATTCTCCACTTCCTCGTGGACTTCATTTGCTATTAGTCACAATGACTAGTCTAAATTTTGTCCATCCATTCACTTGGCTGTCTTGGCTAGCTTTCCCATATGAAAACATAAATATACCGTTCCAGTTTCCTATAATTAATGGTCGCGAGCTTTGGATTTACAATTGAGACTGTCTTTCGATTCTCGTTTCGCCTGAAGGGAACTCGTCGTTTTTTATAGGACTGGCTCTCAGACCGACCCTTTACGAAGTGGTACTTGGGGATCTAAATATTTTTTCTTTGCCCTTAGACCTGTTCCGGCATGGGTTAATTGCCTAATAGGAAGTTAATGTAGAGCGTGATAACGGTTAGAACAAAGAAACCCAAGATTTTTGAAGAAGTAAGCAACGTCTGCTATTTCCAGACAAGAATTCTTCATACGCACTTCAGTGGACAATTTATAAGTTCTATCCATGCTATCACATGGTTATCCAATTTAGACCGATCATAGAAGCTGACTTTTTTTGGAAATAGCTATCGCAACCAGGGTTTTTTAGATAAATGTAATACAGTCGACAACTGATACTTAGTTTGTAAAATAAGCAACTTTAAGAAAACTGCAGAATCAATTTTCCGATAAATGATCCTTCGTTGGCGATTGATATCATAAGCTACACGCAATTTTTACCATCGCAATGTAGGGGCCTCGAGAGCTTGCCTCGGTCATTTACTAACACTTGTGGTTCCAGGTATAGCAGAGCGATGTCAGGCGAGTTTTTTCAGCTTAGACTCAATTATACCTATATCTGTAGCGAAGTCTCCATGCGACATTCTCTGTCACAGCTTAATCTGAACAAGCTACAAGTGAACCTCATTGGATTTACGGCGAGCTCCAGTTTGTTGTTTATTTCAGAACGGTCTGCTGTCTGATGGCCCTTAAGTGCAGTATCGTTCATTTAAGCAGCTGAGGCGTTTGGTGGGAGAATTTCAAAAATATTTATCTTAGCCATCGCATCGGAAATCTTGGGTAACTTTTTTTTTTTAATTAAGACTACAAGCATTTGATTGTTAGCTGGCCTCCCTGTCTCTGTCAGTGTGAAGTTATTCCATCAACCCTAGAAAATCTGCTAGGAGAAGGTTTATCCCGCAAAGGTAATTATAACTAATTTGATCCAGTGCAGAAATCGGCGAAAAGGGCCCAGAGGTCCGAAATTCCAAGAAAAACCTTCCTTTTTTGCTTTATTACTGATACAGTGAAAATGTCACTTTTCATAGCTTTAATTTCATTCCGTTAGAGATCCTTTCTCTGAAATAGAGAAAGGAATAGTATGTACGAATCTTCATATAAAAAGGTTCTTCTTTCATTTTGTCCCTTCCATGGACAATGCATTGTTCTCCTTTCGTAAATCCTTACCAAAACATGACATTTTCGGGCGATATATCCTAGAAGAATTTGGTCGATAAAACAACCGAAAGGACCTTAACCCTTTCCCAGCAGACAAAACCTTATAATTTGGCCATACAAAACT